TGGTACGAAAAGTGCAAAAACGCATAATCGCACCGGCCCGCCTGGTGCGTTCCAGCCTGGGTTTTGAGCCCATTGACAATTATTTGGACGAGGAGCATTTTCTTAAAATTACAGTCTTCTAGCTTTTCAGGTTCCTGAATTAGCAGTTGGCCCGTAAAAAATTTTCACGGCCCAAACATGTGTACTATACGCACATTTTGGGAATGAGAGACCGTACATGCATGTAGACCCAGTTCCCAAAGTTTCAGCCCTGTAGCTTTTCTAGCCCTCGAAATGAAAAATTGTTACAAACCAGCACACCGATAGCCCCTCGTCAATATGCATTTTCCGCATCGCATAGTTGCAAAAGGGGCATAAAAATTATTTTGCAGATTTTTGCTGCACGACGAGCCATCGGAGTTTGCTAATTACGAAGAGGAAGAGGCATCTGTTACAGAGCGATGGAGAGCAAAACGAGATGGTGAATGTGTTGACGACGCATTAATTGTTACAGAATTGTTACGCGATTACGACAAGCACAAATTACCCGGTGGCAGAAACGTACAAGTTTCCGTTGAGGTAAAATTTCGCGCAGTTTTCTCGCTAGCAGTAAAAGCACAAATTATTTTATTCTAGAACAGTTTTTAAAAAATTATTTCTTTGGACTTAAGTGTTGAAAATGAGACATTTATTTCCAGTGGGGCAATTTACAAAACAGTACTTGCCTAAAGCATTTTTTCAGTGAAGAATTAAAATCGAATTAAATTCGAAATCGATTTTTGTGTGTTTTTGCCTATATGCAAATTGCAAATACGCATGTTGTGACGACCCTGTCTGTGTGTGTATGTTTGTGTGTGTGTGTATTCGTCTGACCGGACATTTCAACTCGGCAACCAAGCAAGTTCCAGAGCCAAGATTTTGCTGGTAGGTTCCCCGGCCAAGTGCCACCCTAGGACCGCGACATCAAACCTCACGCAAGTATGGGCCCCGCGTACGAATGCCCCAAAGTTTTGGCGGGAAAATTGATAACTCGGGAACAAGAAAAGATAGAAAGCTCAAATTCTGAGGTTATGTCCCCCATACACATATAACTCAAAGGTTTCCAATTCAGCCTGCAGGTGTGCGTGGTTCCCGCGTACAGCCCTGTGAGATTTTTCGGCGGGAAAATGGCTAACTCGGGAATTAGCCA